TATTGTTAATATCTTACCGATCAACATCTACACCAGAATAGCCACCAGATGGGAAATCTATAGGAACCTTGACAATCAAAGAAACAAAAGCCTTTTTTCAAATATTGCATGGTGAAATCCTTGTAAAAGAGAAATATTTACTAGTATATAGCCTGAAAGCATCATGATGACTATACACTGACTGTAAATTGTTAAAAGCTAATGTAGAGTTCAGGGACCAGGTGTTTGAAAGACATTTGACAGGTTGGATTAAAAGAAGTGAAACTTGGTCTTAATAAGACCTTTGTAACTGTTCTAATTAAGGTAAATTATACCTCTCAAGCTTTCATCTCAGAGTGAGTTAAAACAAAATGTCACAATATTATTCTAACCCTGGAATAGGTAACAATCTTTTTTGAACAAAACAACTAAAAGAAAAACAAAATGGCTGTCAAGCACACCTGTTTCTTGTACTTTTTGTAGTCTATAAATAAAAGCTCCTTGGTGCCACTGAACAAACAGTTGATGTTGTCAACATCATCGTTGTGTAAGACTGACTTTGTGCCCCCACTACTGAACCACATCACCTGGAGAGTTAAAACAACATGGGAAAAGAACTGAACAAACACACAAAATGATTTACAGAAGAACAACACAAAACACAAAAAAGGTCCAAAATCAATGAAGAAATCTGCAGGTGTTAGAAACTTGTAAAATTCAGACCCTTTCAAAGAGACTTAATTTTGAGATAAAAATGTATGATCCAGGCTTAGTGTTTTTCTAAGAAGGCGTCAATTTTATCAGTGAATTTAATACATTGGAACAATGACTAACCGTGTCGATTAACTTGTCCTTCACAATATCATTACATAAAAGTGGCGGAGGCAATATTACATCTTTCCTGCATTAAAATGGACAGCACTTGAGGTGTAGGAAAAGTTACAAGCTGAGACAATGCTCAAATTATTTTTAACAGTGTTAAGATACTATTTTATTATTAAACTATACTATTTTCGGTTAGCTATATGTTATGAAATGATAGATTCAGTGTTTGAATTATCCATAAAACCCTACTGATTTCTGACAAGTATTCAAACTCAACAACTCCTGATACATTACATCCAATGCAACTTGGATATTAAGCTGGTTTTCTCTTCCTTCAAGATCGGCAACTTGTTTGGTGTGAAAGACCCTGTCCCTGACGGGCTCCGTTCACATGTGGTTTAGAAGTTTGTATGTGCTGGTTGCAATGCCTGTTACATCGGTGAAACGTGCTGGCAATTTTCCACATGTGTTAGAGAGCACTAAGTCAGTGACAGGGCCTCTCACTTTTTCAGGCATCTGCATGATTCTGCACATTGTGGCCCTTTGTGTTCAGCAGGTAGCTTCTATGTTTTGGATCACACCACTACCAGTTTTCAACTCAAGATAAAAGAAGCTATTCATACTCAAAGGGAACAACCATCCTTGAATCAACAATTACACCATGTAAATTTAAAACTATCCTTTTAATTCTCACACTTTCATGCTTCGCCTCTTTCTTGTTGTCACCATTATTTTATCACAATTCAACTTCCAACGCTTTGTACATTAATTAACTGAAGATGACAGAAGATTCTGCCAAAACATGTATTACAGAGTTAAAAGTCTCGTCACTTTCTTTAAATTCTTGACTTGCCTGCACCCTTAAGAAGGATAACTATGCAATCTAAATCATGCTGTCAACACAGGATATTTAATAGTGCTTCAGTCCACTTTTTTACTGAACAGCTATTGTTGAAACTGTAAAATTAATAGCTGACTTGATCTTGTGATAAGAACGTGATAACATCTGCACCATCTGCAGACTTCAATCTCAATTCAGAATCTTTTGAAATAAGGAGTTTTACAAAGGTTGTGAAATGCATAAATATAAGCAAACATATTCAATGGAACACCTGACATATCCTCAACTCATGTTTGTTCTAAGGGGTAGGCACAGATCTCATTAAGCAAAAGATAATACATGGCCGTTCAAAAGTTCTCTAGTGATGAAGAAAGAAATCTCTAAAAAATACATTGTATCATTAGGCACAAGACCACAATATTTTCAACTCAGAATACTCAGGACCAGGCCATATGCAATTTTTCCTGTTTAAATGTGAGTTTAAATTACGCATGAAATTTTAAATTATATTTAAATATAGTTAAATTACCGTATTTCGGTCTCTACCTCTACTACTTCAAGCAAATCCATATAGAGGGGTGAATTTATTAACTGAGAACGTTATAACATACCAAAATTGTATCCTTTTTTATCCAGAAATCATTATAAGGTCTTTAAGACAATGTGTCAGCTGTATGTGAAATTATCAAGTTAAACCAAGGATACAGTTTTAAAATCTTAAAAACTAATACACCATTTAAATGTATTTTACGATCAACACCGCCGAAGAAAATTATGCAAATAAACAATCTATTGTTTTTAATCCACCTCTGGTAAGTTTAACAAAGTCACAACGAAATTTACTTACTGAAGGAAAGGAGGGACACCATTAACCATGTAAATATCCTCTTTTCTGTACGTTGACACAAACTCCTTGAAGCTCACATCGTAGGCAGGGAATGTTCGAATCTCTTTCTTTCTTTGTTCTGCAGTAACATTAAAATCGTTTGATTCGGGTAAAGAAAGGAAATATTCGTCTGTCCATTTGGTCAAGGCCGGCGAGATTTTTGCTCCTCCTCGTATCAAGACAGGCTTTATGGGGGATACGTAGTTTTTGAAAAACTCCATAGGAGTTAAGTAGTCATTGATAACTTCAAGAGAGTGTTGTACATTACGAGATCCGAGCGGCTCCAAGTGACCTGGAGGTGCACTAAAATCCGTTGAAGAAACTTCTTCCAACGAGAGTTCTGCTACTGGAATCAGTGAGAATTGTAAATAAATTATGAAAAGAAAGTGTGAAAGGGAATTTCTTCTCCCCATGATGTTGTGTATCCACTTCGGCTGTGTTCACGTTTTGTTTTCATGCACAGATGGTTGGTAAGAAAACGTTCTTGCCTTCATATAAGAATGGGCATAGAATGACGTCACGCGATATCGCTAGGGAGGAAGTTTCTATATTTACAGCAAATGCTGAAATTTGCATCTAAAGAATTTATTCTAGAATTCGAGTTATTGTCGTTATTATAAATGTAGATGAAGCGAATATTGAAAAACAAAATAAGACACCCTCTACAGGACTCTTTGATGTGATAATATTATATCGCAGAACACAGCCTCTGTTAAGATATGTATCGATCCGTCTGTTTTTCCCAATGTTTTACATTTTTAATCGTCCCAGTTAATTCGTAAACTTCTGTTTAATTTAAGCAGTTTGTCGCTGAGTATATCAAAGGGCTACTTTAAAAGCCATTTATTCAAATTCCTTCCTATATCAGCGCATATTGAGTTCAGTTCAAACCACAAATTTACAATGAACTTATTCGGCTTGAAAGTTGCGTTTATTTTGAACAGTCAATCATGTAGTAGATTTTACTTAAGATCACACGACATACGCTAGCCACTCCCTAAACTGGTGCACTAGAAGAAAGTGGACCTCAACGGAATTTTTTTTCAGCCTTTTCAACTTGATATTATATAGCACCACCCAAGGCCATAATATTTAAGGCAACAAAAGACGCACGAATGATAAAGCTTTCTTGATGTTGATTTCAAAAACTTCTAGTTTACTGATAAAAATAGTTCCATTGCGATCATGAATAAAAAAGTGACGTGAGTTGGAAGAAATTCGACTTCAAAAGAACCTTGATGTTCATCTGTTGTTTTGTTTGACTTTTTTAGATTAAAGACTGCGCCGCTAATTTGACGGCCTACAAAACAGGCGTGGAGAAAATTTTCCCAATGGATTATGTTGCTTTCAAAAACAGCTGGTTTATTGACGAAGACGGCTTAATTCCGGAATTGCGTAAAAAACATGAAGAAAAAAACATCTGATGTTGAGTTGTGTACTTGAAATGTTGAATCGCCAGCACAATGTCAAAGTATAAAGTGTCCTTTTACGTTTCTTTTTCCGAGTTGTTTTCATATTTACTCCTTCTAAAATTTATTTGTTGCTTATTTTCTTACCCGCCACAACGACAGAACTTTTCTCTGGGATGTCAGACAATGACAGAAGAAATGTAGAAGTTTTTAAAGCTTAAGAGATGCAAATTAGATATAAAATTACACGCGCAGATTTCGACAGCCTAGGTATCAAATAATGGTCCTTGGAAACTTGGCTGCCAGTGGGTAACGCCTTGTGACACATAATTTCCGCTGGTTGAGGGAGGTGTGAAAAAGCCGCGCGACTGTTTTCAACCGGCTCGTTAGTTTAGTGCCTGCAATAAACAAAGAGTTCACGGAGGAGTAAATTAACCGCTTCTCTCGAAGTTGAACGTGGGTAAAAAAGAAAATTACTTCATTTTAGTGATCATAAAAACTATGAACAGGAGGTACATCAAAGCAAGTCTACAACAAATTTACTATCTCACGTTACCATGGATGATTCTTAAGATTTTTTGGGTCTCAAATAAAGCTCCACTCGTGAAATTGTGTATTACTTGAAATGAATAACTTTTTTTCTATACTTGAGTCTTTCTCGACGTCCTTAGAAGTCACCCAATGAAGAAAAAATGAATATGAAATCCATTCCAGTATCATTAAATAAAGAAAGACTAACATATTTGAGATAATCTTTAACTTCGAGGAATAGCAACGATAGCCACTGAAAACTGGGTAGTTCTGGAGACAATAGAACATCATGTACTGAGTTCACAATTAACGTCAATTCTTCGGATGATGCGTAAAGATGATTGAAATAGCCAGCTGAACAATGAGTGAGGAACATTGCAATATCAGAACCCTTAAGCTGATATTATACTTGGTCCAAAAGGACGTCGTGAACGTTTTTTTCTCCTTGTACCTTGAAATTGGACGTCAAATTTTAGGCAAAATTTTGAGAAGTCGCTAAAGAATTGTCAAAGAACATGCACAACATTCCCATGATCTGTTGTTTTATTCAGAATTAAAATTCTACAGACCCCGCATGGAGAATATAGCAACACGGAACAAGATACGTACAAGTTACTGTAAGTGCATTTACGTATGTATTCTTTATATGGTAAAAAAAAAAAGTTTTAACCCACAATTAACATGTCATCTTGTTGTCGGAACTTCAGTGTGACAGCCTTCAGTTTTGGAGTTTGAACAGTATTTTCAGCATCAAAGCTTAAAGAAGCCGCAAAAACAATTTTCAATTAATATGCAAAACCTTCACACTATCTTTGTTTCATTCAAAGCATCAAATTTTACTATATACTTTTAACGGCCCCCGAAAGTAATGTGAAGCAAGGGGTGACAAGCACAGTGGAAGACAACTACGTGACAAATATTTTCAATGCTTTCATTACGGTTTTCTATCCTTCTCCTTTTAGTTCTGGAAAGGAGCAACGTTAAAAATACGAACGTGATTTGAAAGCCTGTTTACACTTTCTCTTCAATGCCATACAACTGAGCCTCTGCATTGCCAGTAGTGTATCCCTCTAAGAATTTTTTGTGCCATTCCGCTGGATAACTGCATTCCTTCACTGCAGGCACGTCACTCATGGCCGCGCACCAAGCTGAGAGTACTGGGAACTTACCCAAGTCAGTCTTAAAGTGGTCAGTCATTAGATAGAGCCGTTCAAGCCATGGCCATATGAGATAGTCTGCCATGCTGGGACTTGAACCTGGTAAATAAGAAATATAATAATTTTGAACAAGGGATTTCTTTGCAGACTATCACCTCTATTTGCCTGATTCCTTTACAGGATGTGATGGAAAAAGGGAAGTTTTTTCTAATCCTGTCTCCCTGAATCCTTCCTGTACAATTTATTTGTGTGAGTTCCTGGTATGAAACTAGTTGAAGACTGAAAGATCAACATGAGAAGAAATAAACATTTCAGAGAAAAGAAATAAGCCTTGGGGCTCATTAGAAAATTAATGTAAAAACCTCATGAAAACAAGGAAACCCTGGCCTTCACATATAGATGGGAGAAGGATATTATATAATTTTTTTTTAATTTTTCAGACAATTAACCAAATTGTCATGTTACCAGTTTCCTCTAGCATTGGAAGAACAGGCAATATACTTAAACCTATCTGAATCAAAATAATTGACAAGAGCTCACCTCCAATAAATTTTGTATTCCTCTCTTTGAGTTCTTTTTCTAACGCAGCCAGTTGCTTGTATAGTTCCTCTTTGGCATCATCACCACCCCGTATAGATTTGTAAAAGGCAGATGTGAGCTGCAATGCATAAAATCAAGTAATTGGCTTGGATTTTATCAACCAGGAAGTAATAAATTTATTTATGACACAAATGACATGGCATTGAATTGAGGATCAGTTTTTGTTCCAAAACTCTGTAGCTTCCAGGGCTGCCTCTGAATCTGAAGAAACATTCTATAAGGAGTGGGTAAGAATGAATGTGTACCTTATTACACAGAACTTCAACCAGTAATCGTTGCTTGTGTTTTTCAAATGGATCCTTCGGAAACAAATTTGTCTTTCCTGGATACATATCTTCTAGGAAATCTGAAAGATGACAAATGACTTAATTTTCAGTTTAACTCCATTATTTTATGAATTTTCATGTTTGGGTAGCCAGTCATTTAAAAAGGTAGCCAGTTTTTGTGGAAGTCTTTTGCGTGGAAAAAAAAAATAAAGGTCTAACAACAGACATGGGTTTTTTTCACCTTATTGCACAGGAATCTGCAACTTAGGATGAAAATGTGACATTTTGTAAATTTTGACTACAATTTAGACTAATTTGGTTTAAAGCTTTCCTTGCTGGACTGGGTCCATCAAATTTCAATCCGGGGCAGAACCAGTGGGCTTTCGGATTTCAGTAAATCAAACTTGAACCCTTCCTCCTCAGAAGAAATCATTCATAAACAGGAAAATATTTTTATGATGACTAATTTCAGAAGGAAACTAGTCGAGTCAAAAAGGAAAGATTGATATTTTGGATCTCAAGCAGATGAGTCCGGTTACCCAAATACTATTGCCTGGAGAAAATTCAGCGATTTGTTCTACGTACAGTTCCGTATTAGGTCACATGACATCCGAGTTGTTACATTGCCAAGCACTTGCCATGAAAAACAGTACTGTTATCGGAAAAACATATTAATTCCTCTAAATAACGTTCTAAGTAATTATTCTGAAAAGAGAAGTGAAGACAAGTAACAACAATCGCACATGGATCGAGAAGTTGCAATAGTTTGACTATAAATATACGGTTTTCAAGTTACTCCTGAAATCCAGGCCATGAAAGAATTTTCTTATTTGGCCCGTACACAAGATTTCAAAACCTTGTCCCTTACCACAGCATATTGCAGACTCGTAAATAACCTTTCCACCAGGCAGCTCAATCACTGGGACCTTTCCAACGGGGTTCAGCTCGAAAAACCATTCTGGTTTGTCTTTCAAGTTGATGTTCACACACTCGTGCTCAATCCCTTTTGCTGCAAGCACTAGTCGTGTTCTCTACAAACATGGAATAGACAATCGCTGAGTATATTTCGCAGAATGTGTTACCAGTACCCCGAATAGAAAACCAACGAGAAAGAAGGCAGATGAAATAAATACTGAAGCTGGCCTTTCACAACTATGGCTATCAAGTTTAATACGGCACGCACAGAACGTCAAAATGTTTACCTGTGCGTAAGGACAAAATCGCATACTGTAGAGGCGGAGGCCATCTGTTTTTGAGACAGGCTTTTCGGATCCTTTAGAAAAGTGAGTCATTTTAGTCCACAGAACGATAGCTCACAGAGCACGTTTGCTTTCGAATGAGTTTGCACCGTCACTGCACAGTCACTGCGCAGTCCCTGCACAGTCATCAGTCACGCATTTTAGAGTCACGCACGCTTGAGATCACGTAATATTTTCATGCACCTGTGCAATAAGGATCTTGTCACGTCACTTATCGTACTTCTCTACTTAGAGTTACATGCGACTGACAAGCAAAGATAAGCAATTAACAAACGATCTTATTCTTCTTTTTATCAACTATTTTGCCCGATAGTGAGTTAATTACTTGACACTCGTACCGTAGTCAAGTTTTTGGAAGTAGTTATACACCATACTGAAGCGATCCATGCACAAGATGGGTGAGAGATCCTACAACACTACTGCACGTACAATTAGCTAATAGCGACTAAGGATCGAGTTTGGATCTCTTAAAAGGATTTTTTGCCAACACATTTCCACTCCTCGTGACGGTTACTTACCACTATTGCCGACTCATACGAGACCTTTCCGCCAGGAAGCTCTATAACTGGGACCTTGCCAAGCGGATTCATTAAAAAAAACCAGTCTGACCTAGACATGAAGTTATGTTTAAACATTCGTACACGATTCCTTTTGCTGCAAGCATAAGTCGCACTCTCTGCACACAAATCATTCATCATGCATCAGCGGAAAAATACAAAACAAACGAAAAGCTGACAAATTTGCAGAAGGGGTCCGCCTAGGAGTCATACCTTAACGTCTTACCAGCTTGTGGGAGGGGGGTTATTTCACCAAGAGATTTCATGATTAGAAGTTATCACGATTATCAAAGATGGGGGAGGGAGAAACCAAGTCTAAAACCTCTTCTCGGCAAAGCCTTTTAGCTCGTGTAACAGAACGTTCATTGATGAGATGACTTGTTCAAAGAAGTATCGAAAGGACAGTGAACGTAATTGACGTATACGGAAGTGGCAAGACTGATAAGATGATAGAACCCTCGCTAGTTTCCGCTGCAAGATGTAGGAGGCGCTTGATACATTTTTCATCGTATACTCTTCCTTATTAATTTTTTTCCCTCTGTTTTCGGCTCATTAGATTTTCAATGTGTGTATCCACACTTATTCCAAGTAATAGTCCTACATTTGGAATTTCTAGTCGTTCCCAGCCTACCATCGTAAAAATGCAAAGGACAGCAGCTTTCATGGCTTACTAACCGTTATGGAATGATTTACATACAATGATACACAGTAACGACTCAACTTCTACGCTGGTGGTAACATCGTTTACTAAGAGTATATTCTCAACCTTGTTACTGAATATACGATTGTTTCTTTAGTTTTTATTTCTCTCGTTTCGTACACAGCTACATGATCATTAATAAACACAGAATCCTTTCTACATTGTCGGTATCTCTAGGATCGTGTTTAACATTTGTGTTTCAGGCTTTTCATTCAAGACCAACAAGCTGTGCATCTGGATTTTTCGCTTTGTAGCCTTCATAGAACTTTTTGTGCCATTCTGCCGGAACAGTGCACTCCTTCACAGCAGGCACTTCACTCATGGCCGCACACCAGGCTGAGAGCACTGGGAACCCCTTCAGGAGATCAGTTATTAGATAGAGTCGTTCAATCCATGGCCACATGAGGTAGTCTGCCATGCTGGGACTTCAACCTGTTACAAGAAAGAATGCATGCATTTTTATTATGTGTGATACTTTCCCCCCAACATTCCAGTACTTAAATTAACCAAACACCCAGTTTTCTTCTTATGTTTCTAAGGTCCTACATCTTGTCATGTGTCTGATGTGTTTTTTAATGTAAAAATCTCCAAGCACAATTCAGTGGATTTTTGTTTTAAAAGGAAAAGACTATAAAAACTGGGATAACTTTTTTATTATTGTACACCACACAAGTGAATAGTACTTTTCACATGTGCTGATTGGCTAGTTTGCAATTGACTGACAAGAACTTTTCATCCTGTGTTGAGAGATTAGTTTTGTACCATTTTTCAGAATAATGACAAAAATAAACTAATTTTTCAGTTTCCGTGTGGTATGAATGTGAAAAAATTATTTACCCTTGTGTCAGTGAAACTGGCAGATACAGATTGATAAATATTGATCTGTGTGAGTTTAATTGCCTTTGTTGTCAATTTTCCAGAAGAAAAATTTTACTCTGGAAATATATACCTGCCAAATTAGACTGGATACTTAGCATTGTTAAATGAAAAAATGTTTGGACTTCAGTTGAAAATGTATGGGGATCTTTCAGCCACATTTAGAAATTGTCAGAATGACTTCTGCAGTAAAGTTCAAAAGTTTTTGGATTTCCATTAGAAATTCAAGAAATATATTCTAATCACACTCTTCTGACATAAGAAAAAGTTGTCAGGTGTAGTTTATTTCATGACCCACCTCCAACAAATTTTTTTCCATTCAATTCTTTTTCAAAAGCAGTCAGATGTTTATTTAGTTCTGCCACTGTTTCAGGACTTCCGTTACCCAGCATCTCTTTATAATAAGCAGGAATCAACTAAAAAAAATAATACATATGCTAATCATTCCCAATAACTAAATTTAAAAATTCTGCCACCTGCCATTTGCCATGTCCAAGTCTTTGCTATGTGATTCAAACTTAGTACCATTTATTATATAAAACAGCTTTAATAAAGATCAATCATACCTTGCTTCCCAAAACTTCAACCATTATTCTCTGCTTGTGTTTTTCAACTAGATCTTTTGGAAATAGATGTTCCTTCTCTGGATAAAAATCCTCCAAAAATTCTAAGTAAACAAAATTAACAAGGAGTTGACAAAGGGTCTGAAGAAAGTTCAGCTTGAGAAAAAGTTAGAACTAAAAAGGGCTTGCTCCTTAAATATTAGGTGAGAATGAAAGGGCTACATTTATGATCATTTGGCCTATTATGTTGTCTCTATGAAAAGTTCCAAAAGGTTTTGTGAAGTGAAGCAGGAGAAACTTTAAAAAACTGTTGAAGTATTGAATGAATGAAAACTTAATTAACGTGTCAATGTTTTTAGCTATAGATTAGCTAATTGGGGACACCAATTAGTTTACCAATGGTTGCCGAGATTGGCCACACAAGTTCACAGTCGGAAATTTTAAACCATGCAGAGTTTCTATGAGAGCTTCAGAGTTTCCTACAATTTTTTGGCAAATCAAATTTGGACCGTTTTTTCGATCGGTTCTGCAATCATAGGCCGGAAAGTGAGATAAGAATCGTGCGTTCCTTTAGCGTCTTTCTCATTAATTAAACACTAAGGAGCGCGAAACAAAAGCAACAACAGCAACCAAAAAACATTTTACCAACCGCAGCATATCGCAGATTCATAAAGAACCTTTCCATCAGGCAGTTCGATCACTGGGACAGCTCCAGCTGGGTTCATTTCGACAAACCATTCTGGTTTATCCATCAAATTGACGTTCACACATTCGTACTCGATTCCTTTTGCTGCTAATACAAGTCGTGCTCTCTGCAAATAAATCACCGAGATGAATAAAACTCAAACCACAATGAAATATGGAAATGATGGCTTATTACGGAAGCTTGCTAGAATGTGCCAAACGATCGAAAATAAAGACAAGCACCAAACAAAAAACACAAAACACGATGATGTGCCGCGCACGCAAACAAGTGAATGAAACAGTCGTAAAAGAAACATTCAAAGCGCCTACGAACTACGTTGCCTCAGACACGATGTACTTTACCTGTGCAAATGGACAGAATCTCATACTGTAAAGGCGAAGGCTCTCGCCTTTCAGCGCCGGCTTGTCAGATCCTTTCGAAAAGTGAGCCATTTCTCCACGAAAAAAAAAAGCAAACTCAGCTCTTATAACAGTCACGGTACGACTATAAATTTTTGCAGCGTCACACTGACGGCCCGGTATTGGTTACTTTCATGTTGACAGCTGACCTGATGAGTCACGTTATATTTTTGTTCAGTCGAGTCACGACTGAAATCGTTCTTCGCAATACATTGGTAGGATCGAACAAAATTTCCCCAGCGAACGTTTCGTCATTTTTCTCACGATATAGAACCATTATTGTGGACGAAGACGTTCCAAGTGCCACAGAGTTAGTCTTTGTTCGACGCGACTGGAGCTGGACGCGAGCTAATCCAAAGGAAGAGGAATTTTCCAGTAACTTGCCCATGGACAATGGGCAAGGACAGGACCACAGAGTTTTCTTTCGGGTGTGATTCATGTATTTTGACCGTTCAATTCTTTTTATACGAGGCGAAGGGGTGGGGAGGGGGAGAGGGAGGGAAACGGTTACAGTCAAACCTGTCTTAAGCGGCACCGTATTCCTGATGGCAAATTTGGACAGTTTTCAAGTGGTTTAACTTCAAAGATGTATCTAAGTTATCTGATTTATTTTACCATCACTAAAGTATACTTCTTATAGTTCCTGAAAAATAATTTTCAGGGGGTTAACTTTAGTGAATGGGTGGAATTCAAGAAGAAAAAGAGTGTAGTCCTTCGCCCCAAAAATTGCTCTAAAGACAGAGATTCATTATTTTACCGTAGGTTTTGGAATACAATTAGTAGAAATAAAAACACGATTTTTCACCGCAGTGAGCTCTCCCATTATGCATATCAACTGTTTCATGCCCGAAATTATTAAATTTTCCACGACGTGAAATGTGACATGGGCTAATAATGAGGCTAGAGAAAATAATAGTTACTTCATTCACTCTCATTTTTTTCTGTATATCTTTTTACGAAAATTTTTTTTTTTAACGTGTTCTTCACTATGAGCCAAAACATTAATCACTTCGTCGACTGTCGCAGTTGCCTTTAATTCCTCTTCCGCTTTCGTAAAGTCCTTCTCCAGGGCATTTGTGTCAACTGATCACTTCTCTTAAAACCATTGCTATCAGGATACATTCAATGTTGTGTCCGTATCTTCCTTCTCGAAATCTTTGATTGCCTCTCCGCCGCTGTGTCCAAGTTTACTCAGAAATGACTTAAACGAAGATCTACAGCACAATGCAAAAAGACAAAAATAATGAAACTTGATCCTAATAATGCAAGGGATTCGTAAGAAATAAAGTTTTTCCATAAAGTATTTTTGAGT